TCTTCCCATGCGACTTCCTTCTCGTCGGCTGCTTTGCTGGCTGGCTATTTCGCCAGGAACAACCCAGATTGCCATTCCTTGTTGGCGTTAAGGAAGTGTTCGTGATCAAAAGGGAGAAGGATATAAAAAAGAAAAGGTGAAAGAGAGAGATTGAGTGAAGGAAACGAGGGAGATACAAGAGGAAAAAAGAGAGAATGTAATGGATGATGTCATATTTTTCAGATCACAGTTTCTTGTGTTCCTCTCGGTTCTTACGTCCTTCTACAAGGCCTACTTCACCCACTTTTCGTGAGTTCATCGCTGGTACTACAGTGGCTAACAACCCCTTTTCCGAGACGTGTGTACAATTCCATAGTTCTGTTTTAGCGCCGTCGCCCACTTTCTCCTCTAGCATTTTCCCCTGGTCTCACGCCGATTACATCGACTGGTCCTCCTCCAGCTGGTTATTTCGACCACATGTTCTATAAGTCGACCACTACTTCGTAAAGTTGGCTAGGTCGACTAGTGGTTTAGCTCCACCTGCTAAAGCCGATTGTTGTTATTTTCAGTACGATTTTTTACTCGTTGAAATAACCGCAAATTCCCATTAGGCTGGTTAAACCGAGTACAACGTTCGACCTTTTCTCATGGGGTTTAATTTTAGGGAGTTATTACGTGTCCTTATGGTGTTTCTATCAATTTCTTGTGCATCTGTATCATAAGATTTTTGTGAGTTGTCTTGTAGTTTGATATGCCAGTCTCCTCTCACAGTCTTCTTTACCTCCAGTTGTTTTCATTTTTCCCGTCACCTTTCCAGCTTTCCCTTTACTTCTTACTTTCATATTTTACCAACTTTTCTCCCTCTCTACTCTCTTCCTATCTTTTGTCTCCCTCCCAACCCTTCAACGTAATAAACTTGACCGCCAACGCTAAGCCAATCCGATGTCGAGACGCGCCGCACTGTCACGGTAAAAAGTGAAAACGAGCATGGACCATTTAGTCATTCCCGTGAAACTACCTCGTTACCTCGTTGTCTTGTTTCTCTTCCTCATCGTCGTTTTCGTTGGTGTTGGGGGACGCCCTGGTAGTCGGAGGGGAAGGGGGGTAAGGGTGGGCGGCCAGGGAAGAGAGAGGAGTGAAAAGTGAATCTGGAGGAGTGGCTGTAAAAAAATAGATATGTTTGTTGACGTAGGTGTAGCTGTAGTTTGTTGGTTATGGTTTGTTGTGTGTGTGTGGTGTGTGTGTGTGTTGTGTGTGTGTGTGTGTGTGTGTGTGTGGTGTGTGTGTGTGTGTGTGTGTGTGTGTGTGTGTGTGTGTGTGTGTGTTCACGCGCGCGGCGCGCGCGAATGTTACCTTACAGTTAGACAGCGCTCTAAAAAAAAAAAGTATTAGTAAGCCAGTTACAACAAACAATACCTCATTGGAGTCACCCCCCCCCCACACACACACACACTTCGTACCTCGACCTTTTCATGTGCGCTCTTGAAAACGCCGGAGCGTCTTGCTATGTGAAAGTACGAAATGGGAGAAAGTGGGGAAGTTCACCGACTGCTTTTGTTGTCACAGCTTCACCTAAAAGAGGTAGTGGGATGAAGCTTAAGTGAGAAGGAGCGGAAGGGAGAGGGGGGGGAGACACAGCGTAGGTACTGTAGAAGGAAAAGTATAAGCAGTTTGTAGGTATTCTGTAATGTCCAGTTGTCGATAGGCGAGATTTTGGTGATATCACTGTCACCGCGACAAAGAAAATCAATTTGAGTAACATTCCAGCATTCTTTGCAATCAGCTGTAAGTTAGCATAAGTCCTCGTTGTTTTCGAGACAAGTGAAGTGGCTGCCACTTGGCAGAGCTCAGCCATTCCGAGGTCACTGTAGTAATCTGGTATTTTTAGTTTGTATGCAACACGAAGGTCAGGGAAGGTATGAGAGGTCTCTTCTGGCATTTCTCTTCTCTTTTCCGTCCGTTTTCTCGAGACAGGTTCGCTCTCTTCAGTCCGTTTTCGA